CCTTGCCTTTTCCTGCAGAAAACCCTTCGGCTTCCATCCGCTCCTCGCTTCCTCCAGCCTATATAAATCTCCCTCCTTTCTACTATTCTCCTCACGCTTTTCAGCAACTCAAATCATCCAAACTCAGAGAGAATTTCAGCCTTCCAAAATGAGTGATTATATGCCTCGCCCCTTTCGCTTCGATGGGTTGGTTCACACCTTCTCTGGATACATGTTCCATGAACCCAGGGTGCTGAACCATCATCGGTACCTCCAGCATTTTGACAAGAGAAGGCTCCATCACATCACCCAACTTGATCCTTATGAGTTCAATGTCTATAAGTATGACATTATCTCTCTCATCGAAGGGCTTGGGTGGGATTTTCTTCTTCGCCAACCTCTTCATCCTGCTTGTCCAGGAGCTGTCAAATACTTCTTCTCAAAACTCCAGAGTCCTGGTGTAAGCTCGTGGAGGTTCACCACACTGGTTTATCAACCTAGGTGTTGACTTATCAGAGTTTCGAAGCATCTCCTTCACAATTTATGTCAGTGCACTAAACGTGCTAATGGTACTTGATATGACTACTGACATACCTCCTTCTCCTTCTGCATCCCTTCTGGGCCCCCCTCCAAAATCTCGTCTGCTAAGAAGGCCTCCTCTAGGAGAAAGGCCAAATCTGCTGATGATTCCAGCAAGTTTGGAGATCTTATGTTCACTATCTCCGAAGGCAATACCTCCTCTGATGATTCTGCAGCTTCTGCCTCTCCTGCCTAAATCTTCTGTTTCTCTTGTCTTTAAGTAGTAGTGCTCGTATGTACTGTTTTTCTTGTTTTGAGGAGCCTTTTGTTCAGGGGGAATGAGTCTTTTGGTCTCTAGGTAGTTAAGAACTGGTGTCCAGTTCCAAAAAGTTAGGGGGAATATCTTCGATATTTCCATAATTTGTACTCTCAATCCCCCTTGGTATCATGCTCCTTCTGTAACCGCCTTTAATGAATGCATTTATGTTTTCTGTTTGGATTCTTGGTTTGCTGGTGTGTTGTCTGCTACTGTTTTGCAGGTCCTCCATCTTCTCGGGGGGAAATTGTTGGTTAAAACGACATCTTCTCAGCCACTTAAACGGTGTCGCTGGCATACCAAAGGAACGATCGCGTTTTGGGTTCGGATAATGTTTCGTCCATCGCAGTTGTCGTCTTCATCTCGAATCTGTCAATCTGCAGCTCTCTGTTTTTCTCAAGAGATCGTAGAACCACTCTCCCAGTGCTCCACCGCCTCTACTCAGCAAGCAATCATAATCGCTATCTGGAGCGCTTTGTAGGAAACGGCTATTTCCTTTTCTTCCTATAAATAACGAGTGAGTTCTCTATTTTGAATGTAGCAGTTGGTAGTAAGAGAATTCGGGATTCTGCTTTATCTGTCATGGGCTGTTTTGGGTACCATCTTCAGTAGATAGGTCACAGGAGTTGAGAACTGGGTGATCTTGTCTTGGGTAGTTGGGATTGAGTGTTTTCTTTTCTGTTGTCAAAAGTGCCAAGTCTCTTGGCTTGGCTAGGGTTTGATTAGATCAATTGTAACTCTGTTTCAATTTGAATAAAAATTATTTTCTTTCATATTCATTCAGACTTAACAGAAGCAATATTGGAATTGGATAGCCCAATAGAATGCTCGCTTAAGCATTGTCAAAGGCAATGTTCACAAGACGATTATAGATCCCATGTTTTTGGCAGATGCAATTATTCCACCATGAAATGTGACTGTTACGGATATTGTGGGCCACAATAAAAGACGAGAGTGTTAGGTTTCTCTTTTTGCATAATACATTTCGTCCGATGTTGAAATGTTTCGTTTCATAAATTGTATCAATAAATTCTCTCTTTTTCCAGTTAATTAGTGGATTTTTTTATAGCGAATGATGTAGCTGGATTTTTTACTTCCAAGTTTCTCTATTTGAGGTGATGGTAAGAAATCTTTGCGGCTAAAATTCTATAATAATAGTGAAGCTAGCTTGGCACTTAATTAAAGACCAGACAATAAAGTGAACTAGAATTTACATGAATAATCACTTAATGTGCAGTGAAATGAAATATTAGAAACCACGTAGTCGCATTTTTTATCGTGTCAATAGGTATTTAGTCAATTGATATCGTCAGTTCCTAGGTTGTCAACCACTGCCTCCGAATACTCGTGTTCGCTACAAAGATGACTCTCACTATTCCGTCCTCTCAAAACGCAGCCAAGTACCCCTAGGCAGAAATCCCTAGCAAAGGAAGAAACAATCATAAGAACTCCATTGAAGAAACTGTTAAAATGCAGGAAAAACAAAAAGCATATACGAAAAGGCATTCAACCTTGTCCGTCGTAGCTACCCTAACTGACTCTGTCTTCCATCTCTTCCTTCCTTCCACCCGCGACGAAGAGGAGAGGGAGGGGTCTTCTGCGAGGTGTGGGTGGGGCCGCCGACCATGCCCAAATCCAGATAGCCCAGCCCAAATCAATTCTTTCCAGGCCCAAACCAGTCCAATACTCACAAATCTGCATTGCAGGGCCTTCAACGAAGCAAAAGCTCTAAAATATATCTATCTCTACTATACTTATAATACGTCGAAGGGAAAAACGGGAGCCCCATAAACATTTTGGTCTTCACAATTACTTTTTTTTATTCATTAAAAAGATACGTACTAGGATTTGAACCATGACCATTTTAAAGAAAGGCAAGGATCATAACTAATCATAACTAATCACACTAAGTACATTTGTTGTGTTCTTTTAAATTAAAAACATATAATAGCAAGGTGGAAAACACTATTCCCCCATTTCAAATTCCCTGCTCCAGGAGCGTTTGTAGGAAGAGTAGAATAGGGAGTGTCAATTTTTTTCTCTTTCCTCTGTGGAACGGGCCAACTTACCGTACACATGCGGATTTAAACGGGTCCAGGAGTGTCAATTTTTTTCTTTATACCCTTTTATTTCTCCGTGGTGATAAAATATATATGAAAAGGCAAAAACAATACTTCTTTTTATTGCTAAAAATAAAAAATTTAACAATAAACTAATGCATGGTATCTAATGGGCTAACCGCTAACCATAAAATAAAAGAGTTGAATGGGCCTGAACTACACGGGATTTGACCATCAAGTAAAACAAATGAATATCATTGGTTTGACATTCTAAAACAAGCTATTTTCTCTTGCATAATATATATTATGCTATTATTTTATATCTTAGTGGCTAAAATATAATGTATTTTAAAGTTATTCAATGGTTCAACCTCGACCAACCCAATTAGTCCAATTTTTATCATTTCAAATATATATTATATAATTATTTGATATCATAATGATAAAATTATAGTGTATTTTATAGGGAATCGTTTGGTATTTGTTAGTAAAAAACTAAACAGAAAGATCTATTTGGTTATTTTAAACATTAAAACGATCCTAAACATTTTCAGTTTCTTGTCAATTTCTATGGTTTTATTCCCGAATAAGTGATGTGCAAATGGCGAATTGCAGTCATCTCTTTTCTTTCACTATTTTTATTTTCAAATAGAAAGTTTAAAAGTAACGAATAATTAGAATTTTGCATGGGTCGGTCAAACAGGCTGAATTTTAAGTTTTGGCCCGTTTTGATCAAGTCTAATTTATAATCACATGGTTCCCTGATACCCGATAAAAATCTCAATCCAAACCAGTTTGGCAGGTGAGTCCGTGTTTACCACCATTTTCTAGGAATACGACAACGGCGGTTCCTATCACAAATCGTGTTGTTCGTTCTTGATTTTCTTAAATTTTATCATGGCCTGACAAAAACCAGAAAGCACAATCACGACAAGATGAAAGTTTTATAAAGCATGTTAATGGTGTTCTCTTTCTGATCTCATGTAATTATATAATGAAGTTGAAGTTTTTCGATGCTATTCAATTTCATTGGTATGTTTTTAATGGTCTAATATCATGGTTGTACCAACTTCTGATGTACTGTTTATGTTCCAATATATTCACTTTGGTATGATTATTAGGGATATGCTAGGTGGTACTCATCATTAGGTCAATTTAGCTTAATGGTTGAATCTACGGGTTATCCCAATAATTCAATATTCGGCTCAGCTCCTCCGACAACGGGTCGGGTTATAAGCTAGTTTAGAAATATATTAAATCAACAAACGAAACAGACAAATAAAACATCGATGGGCGTGAGGGTGGGCAGCAGCGGTGAAAAATGGACGGCCCGAAGTTCCTCCCCTCCACCACCCACAGACGATTAAACGAATGATTTCAAAGTTCAAACTAATCATTTTGCAAAGCGGTTTTATGGAAGGATCTTGGTAGTGAAAGTCCTCTAGTTTTTCCCCAGCCTTCCATCGTTGTTCTGCTATTTGACTCTTAACTTCTAACACATTGTTCTTTCTTTCTAATTTCATTGGACCTCCAGTTCATACTACTTCTCCTTCTGCTCGCACCGCTTCTAGAAGATACCCAGAGCATCACCGGCGTATGGACGGAATAGGAACATCATCCCATGTGGCGGTTGAGAAAGTGACAGACTATGAATCCCTCAAAATCTCATGGTGATGTAACTTTGGAAGCAACTCTTAACATCACAGAATCATCTATGATTCTCTCAAACCTCAAACTATCAACTACTGCAACTACTTCCCTTATATGGAGGATCACACTCCTTTCACCTTGAAAACAACTTTCCCCCATTTACAGAAGACACATTCATTCTTCAAGCCTTCCCTCCAAAATGGCTTTGTGCCACAACGTCATCTTGGATACTTCTTCTGTTGCTACAAACTACGTACTGCAAGCACTTCCATTATTTGGGGATGGCACAGTCTTCAAGCCTTCCCTTCTTTTCTTCTAACCAATTTGCTTTGTGTCACTCCGTCATCTCTGATTCTCTGCAATCTTTTGCGGTTACACATCGTCTTCATGCCTTCCCACCCTTTCTTCTTACCAGGGTTAGTTTGTGGAACCTTGCATATAATATAAATATATGATAAGACTAGTAGCAGCCTCATTTTCCAATCATCACACTTCATCCATCCTTCTGCTTTGACAATGGCTTCCATAACTCTCTATGTTCTTCTTATCAACTTCCTCTCCATCCTCTGTTGTGCAACAGCACACACAGAGCCTCATCCTCAACACAAAACATACATTGTCCAGCTAGACAGTGATCTCCAAAAACCATCACCTTTCCCCACTCATGAACTCTGGCACTTATCACTTCTGCAATCCTTAGCCGACCCCATAACCGACCAAGAGTTGTTCCTCTACAGCTACACCCACGTTCTGCATGGGTTTAGCTGTAGATTGACGGAAGCTCAGCTCTCCGAGATAGAGACGTGGCCAGCCCACGTTGCCACTTATCCGGTGACATACGGCGGGAAGCTTCTCACTACCCACACTACAGACTTCTTGGGGCTGCGACATGATTCGGGGCTGTGGCCGAATTCCTCCTACGGTGAAGGGGTAATCATAGGGTTTGTTGACACGGGGATCTGGCCATAAAGTGAGAGCTTCCATGATCGAGGCATGCCAGCTGTTCCTGAAAGGTGGAAGGGGCAATGCGAAGAGAAATACGACTTTAACTCTTCGTACTGCAACCGAAAGCTGATCGGGTCTCGGTTCTTCCTAAAAGGTTCCGACAGTAGCCACAATTCGGGAGGCATCTTGAAAGTAAGCCATGGGAGTCATGTATCGTCGACGGCTGCGGGCAACTTTGTCCTCGGCGTCAGTTATGCCGGTTATGCGAAAGGCACGGCCAGAGGAGTTGCTCCTCGTGCCCACATAGCAATGTACCAAGTGGACCCGGATTCAGATGTCCTTCCTGCGGAAGTGCTAGCGGCAATTGACAAAGCAATTGCAGACGGGGTTGACATCATCTCCTTGTCCATCGGCTTCGAGGGTTTATCTTATGATCAAGATCCGGTCGCAATCGGCGCCCTTTCTGCTGCCGAGAAGGGCATTTTCGTGGCTGCCGCCGCCGGCAACAAACCAGCAGCATCTCATCTTCTCAACGGACCGCCGTGGATCACAACAGTCGGAGCCGGGACCATCGATCGAAGTTTTACAGCAAGTATGACCCTGTCCAACGGAGTGGAAATGAAGGGATATTCCTACTTTCCCCTAGACATCTCTACCGTCGTCGATGTTCCCTTGTACTACCGAAAGGGGAAATCTGGATGTGAAGCTTCCTCGCTGAACCGCTCACAAGTTGCAGGCAAGATGATACTCTGTGACAACTCCATCAAGGAAGAAATCTCACTTGAGTTGGTTCCAGCTCTTAACCGATTGGGGGCTTTTGGAGCAGTTTTGATCACTGATCGGCCCGCCGATTTGTTAGAGCCAGAGGATTGCTCGATTCCCTTGATAGCTATATCTCAGAGCTCAGGGGATTCGGTAAGGAAATTTGTAATTGACAACCCAGGAGCCAAAGTACAGAATCTGCGCTTTCAGTCGACAGACATTGGGGTCAAACCAGCTCCCCAAGTGGCGAGCTTCTCCTGCAGAGGGCCGGACCAATTTCACCCGGGGATACTGAAACCGGACATTTTGGCTCCCGGCTTTGAAATCCTGGCGGCGTTCTCCCGCAAGCTGCCATACATGTCTCTCGGGAGATACAGTCTGATGACCAATTACGGCATTCTCTCCGGCACATCGATGGCGGCCCCACACATTGCTGGTGTTGCAGCTCTTCTGAAATCCGCCCACCCTGAATGGAGCCCAGCTGCAATTAGATCGGCCATGATGACGACGGCTTACGCGGTCGACAACACGGGCCAGAGTCTGACGGAACAGTTCACGGCGATTCCAATGTCGCCATCTGTGCGGGCAGAACCTGACGAGAAAGCAAATCGACTTCATCTTGCAGGGGCGCGGGTGGCACTGCAGCAGGAAAATTGAGGTGGAAGAGCTGAACTATCCTTCTCTCACCGCCGTATTCAAGTCCAAGAGCAGAGCCGTGGAGTTCAGCAGGACCCTGACGAACGTGGGGGGCGACGGGAGGTCGGTTTACAGAGTGTCGGTGGAGAATGCCCCGCCAGGGATGAGAATCGAGGTGGTGCCGGAGACTCTGGTGTTTCGTCACAGGAATGAGACCAACAAGTTCCATGTCCACCTGGAGGTTGAAGAAGGATCCCCCGCGGTGTTGTACTGTTTCCTGCGATGGAGTGATGGAGACGGCCATGTGGTTTCCAGCCCCATCGTCGCCCTCACTCTCGACGATCACGGCCAGTGAGAATTATCAGCTTAGCTCTCGGGTCGGGGGTATGGCCTATGGGTATTGTGAAGCGAAGCTGCGACTTTCGCTTAAATAAACAGTTCAGTCGTTTGAGTCAGTTGGGGTCGTTTGGTTTGTTTACTACCAGACAACTAGAGAGAATGTGTGGTTATTGTCTTATTGAGTAGTAAGGTCAAGTTTGTGATGGTCAATAGTGCTTTACTGTATTTCAGGGAAGTGAGTCAGTGGCTGATGTAGTGGAATATTGCAGTGCTTTACTGTGGTCAAAATTATGATGAAATATCACTTATGTTATATTTTGGTGTTGCGTGTAATTGTAGCAGTTAGTAATCTTCTTGGAAAGTGATTGATTGTGCATTTCTAGGTTGTCTGCTTGTGAACTAAACCACCCTGATGTTTGCTGCTAAGTGTCAAATGACTTCGAACTGTAGTTTGAGTTTTGTGGTTTCCGTTGTTGGTTACCACTAACCAATACCACTTGGTCATTTACTTTTGTGATCCTTGTAGTTTCGCCCAAGATTGGAAGGAGAATGCAACATTTATTTGGTTCCAAGACGGTTATTGAGGTCTAATGTAGTTTCACTATCTAAACCCAAAGCCAGGGACCAATTGGAACTCAGCTCGTATGTATATGATTACGTGCTCATTTCTCGGTCTTGTACGGCTTCCAAAACCTGCTGCTTTTGTACTAGCATTCACAAGTGAGGTGGTTTGGTGGACCAGTGAACTGTGAAAGGGTCTAACTTAGCTTGTGAATAAACCTAAGACTATGTAGATATTTTTTTAAGCTTACATGACTGATGACACTACTGATCCTTTTCACTTGCACTAACCATAACTAATGCCGTTGAATACTGGTATTTTCATAATAGTGTTTGAAGATCTGCACAAGACTGGAACCTATAAATGGGCCTCTTTCCCTCAACTTGGGAGCAAAAAGTTCTCTCTCAGCAAAGATTGGACACTGAAGAGGCATGGACTTAACCGCGATCCTGCAAGTAAAAGCTTTACTGGCTGTTTATCATCACCATCATCATCATCATCTTAGGCTGACTTCTGATTCTTTGGAATAAAGCAGCTCTCTCGAAACTTGGTCAATGAACTGAAAGTTGTGGACTTTTGAGGTTATTCTCACCTATCAGCACCAACTTGACAGCATTGCTTGTAACTTTCAAACCCACAAAATGGTTCTGTATCGAATGATACAAGATGATACAAAATGGATCACATTAATCACTAATACTAAGCTAACAATCTGAACTCCTTTCTTAGGGCACATTCTCATGAAGGCAATGATAGAGATCTATAAACCAGGATATATTGGGTTTTGAATTATGTAGGGAAATAAGATACAATAATCTAGTGCTTTTCTGTTCAAACAAGCCTCGAAATTCAGTTCTTATGGATAAATGACTTGCTGCAATTTCACTAATGAAGATTGAAAGACCAATTACCAAAACCAAACCAAACAACATTATCAGGTACTGGAATCAGAATGTGAAAAGCACCAACCAGAAAGGGGAATAGCATACAGGCAAAACTGAGAAGTTGTTAGCCAACACAACAGAAGATAAAGGAGGAAAGAACAACACATAAGCAGAACAGGGACACAGCAACCAATTCCCTGCTGCCCGGTTAACACAAGGAAAGCGAAAATTATTGCAAAACAAGGCTCCATTGCAGAATCCATGACATTACAGTTCAGAGGCAAAATGAAACTTAGCCAAATTCGGCAACAAAACGAATCGAATCATTGTTCTAGTACCCCAAAACACAAATGAATCGAATAACTAGGAGCGTTCGGATTCGTTAGGCAAAGTCACTAGACACTCAAGTTTCGAAGATTCCAACAGGAGGGTGCAGAACGCTGGGACGACTGTTCAAACTTGCTTCGGCTTTCGATCGTCTGTGTCGACAGAGCACTTCGACGAAGACAAAGGACTGCTTGGCACCAGGGATTCTTCGTTTTGTTTGAATAGAGAGATTCCGAATCGACGATGGTGAAGCTCGCCGGAGCAGTTTTCTGTTCAGTGTTCGCAGTCAGACGGAGCCCCAGTCGAGGAAAACGCCCCTCGGTTTCCTTCGCTATTTTGTTACGGAAGAAAATAAAAGCAGTAGAGAAATAAATGAATTTTTTTTTGGTAAAAAATAAATGAATTTTGAATAAATGGAAAATTAATAAGAATTGCCAAACGGCTGAGTGGAAATTCAGTTCCGTCTCGAGCTGTCCAGCGGGTCAATAGGTTTAAATTGGACTTGTGCTACCCAATTCTGTGCCACCTCATATCCATGTGGCTCAATCAAAATCCGCGTACTGCACTTTTTAAGGCAACACCATAGTATTGGCCTTCATAAGGTGGGAGTAGCTTCAGATTCGAAAACTGCATTTCTTCTTCGGCAGATATCAAATTTCATGTGTTCGGTGCCTTATTGGCAATTTGTCGTCGCTTTCTGCATGTCAATTGAAATTTTATGTAATATATAAGTGAGGTGCAAATTGGTCATCTTAGTCTTCTTTAATGGTCAATTAACGGAATTTTGAATGGCATGACACGTGTGTTATATTTCTATAATATAAGGGTATATATGTGCTAATAATAGTATAGGAGTATATTTGATAATTTACAACAATATAAAGTTATAAAATACTATTAATCCAAAAATTAAAATGCTTTAAATTAGGATTTTTATAATATTTATAAATAATAAGGAATATCACAAAAAATAAATCATACAAACATTACAAACAATCCTAACAAGCAAGGTTGTCAAACCGGTTTATACCATTGTGCCGGTTTGGCAAGTGGAATGGTACGACCGATGGTATAACTTGTTTGTGCCGGTTCATGCCGGTCTAAAACAATGTGAAAACAATTAATATCCAATGTATTTAATCATATATAAAACATATTTGTGGACAATTTAGTTACAATCCAACAAATATCATCAACTTTTAACTATTGCATTCATAAAATCAATAATAAATTATTATTTTTATTCATTAAATTCATTAAAATGATGTCATTTTACTTAGAATGCGTAAGTCGATCATACCGGTTATACCGGTGGTGTCATGCCGATTTCATAACCGGCACAGGTTGAACCAGGTTCAACCGGGTGGCATGCCACCGGCATGACAACCATGCTAACAAGTAACAAATAACACAGGTCAGATACTTTATTTGGAAGTGGATAATTTTTTTTTTTTTTTTGAACGAAGGAAGTTGATAAAAATTCTACTTATCATAAAGAGTACGTAACTTTTTTACCAAGCATAACACAGGTCAGATACTTTATTTGGAAGTGGATAATTTTTTGTTTTTTTTTTTTTGAACGAAGGAAGTTGATAGAAATTCTACTTATCATAAAGAGTACGTAACTTTTTTTACCAAGTCTCTGCTTGTTGGAGGTTAGCAGTTCGACCCACAGTGTTGTCAATTTTTATGATTGCTTTTTAAATATCTAGTCTTAATATATTTCTGTTGGTGGGAGGTCTATAGTTTGCTTCTTAGTTTGATTAAATTTTTGTATACATAAAAAATATAACCACTTTGTGAAAGATTGGTTTCATTTCCTTACTACATATTTTTGTCAACTTAATTATATTTTGATAAAAAGAAACAGATACTCTAATCCATAAATATATTATTGACTCGCATTCTAAGAGTTTAAAAGTTATATATTATATTTATTATTTAAATTTAACTATTTACTGAAATTAATCCTAAAATTTTTGGTGAATTGGTTATGTTTTAGCGTTTTTCGAGTATTTATGGGCATTTTTTTATTGGGCATGCCTACGGTGACTTGCAAGTCATGGTAACCTTGAGAAAACGGTCGACCTCTTCCATTAAGTGGTCAACCACTTTCTAAGAAAATGGTCGACCACTTCCACCAAGTGGTCTACCACTTGAGTCAACTGGTTTACCACTTACGAACATGGGTCGACATGATGACACCCTTACCTTCAAGTGGTCGACCTCTTCCACCAAGTGGTCTATCACTTTAGTCAACCAGTCTACCACTTCCGGAAATGGGTCGACCTGACGAAACACTTACCTTCAAGTGGTAGACCACTTTCCAAGAAAATGGTCGACCTCTTCCATCAAGTGGTCTATCACTTGAGTCACCGGTTTATCGCTTTCGTAAATGGGTCGACCTGTTTACACAATTACCTTTAAGTGGTCGACCTCTTCCACCAAGTGGTCGACCACTTTCCAAGAAAATGGTTTACCACTTTCACCAAGCGGTCTACCACTTGAGGCAACCGGTCTACCGCTTCTGGCAATGAGTTGACCTGTGACACACTTACCTTCAACTTACACCTGCTTGTTGGAGGAGGTAGACCGCTTCCGCCAAAATAGCATATTGATTCCGCAAAATGGTTTACGTACATATTTTGGTGAACGATCTACGCTTTCGGCGAACGGTCGACCAGATGACACAGTTACCTTATACTTACATTAGGAAAATAATGGACAATAGGAGACCAACGATATAAAATTGTTATGTAGTTACACAACATCATATCACCTGTGAGGAACCAAATCCCTACGCAGATTGTAGACCAAGACCAATGCAGTCAAAAGCGCGATTCTACCTAGAAACGGAAAATGGGTAAAATCGTAAAGCGTAGAATCAGAGCGTAAAAACGTAAGTTTTTGACGCATCCTTTAATATAACGAAAAATGTGTTAAGTACGATAAAATATGAGTAGACATAGTTTAGATAAGTTAATAAATATTTGTAATTCATGTCTAAAGTTGAGAAACTAGTAAAATTTTAACAATAAGTTCATAAACATATATCTTAACAATAAGCAACATTCCCCTCTATGCTAGTGAATTTGGGAAGGGCATAGCTGGTGAATTAGATTACTCTATTGAAACTAAGAATGCACCCAAGTACTTGATATGTATCTTTTAATCTCAAATATATCATATTTTTTGTGATTTACCTTTAAAATATAAGTATTTTCATGAATAGAATACTCTTTTAGTGAACTAGAAGCGTAAAAGCGTAAAGCGTTTTAGTGAACCAGAAGCGTAAAAGAGTAAGCTATTAAGCTTTAAAGCACAGTTTAGTCCCGAT